ACTTCAGACATTCTGATTGCACTGCAAGTGTCCTCACTGATAGTCTTTGAAGTGCTTCAAGCTCTGTCCTGAAGCTCAGTATGTGCTTATATCTGCAGCTATTGTTAGTCACTTCATATGTACAGAGTCCAGTGAAATCATTATTCAGTGATTCACACTGTGCAGCCAAAACATTCTCTCTTATCTGTTAAGAGGCTGCAGAGACACAGTCAGACAGCTCTGGGTGGGTGGATGGGTAGGGGATGGAGAAAGACAGGAAGAGAGTCTTGTATGTTCTTTCTCTCTATCTCCCTCTCTCTTTCTCTCTCTCTCTTCAGGGAAATGACTTTACTCTCCTCCTTTTCTCTACATGAAGCCAAAGAGCACCCCAACGTCAAGAGCTTTAGATCTTGAATATTCACGCTGGTGGCATTTTACCATCTGTGGGCGGTGAGGCTTTGCAAGGATTGGAGAGAGTGTGTGAAGTATTGATCGCTTTTGTCCTTGTTTGCTCTGTCTCTCAGTGCCAGCTGACTCTCTGAGCAACAGCGAGACAAAGACAGAAACAGAAAGACAGTTGGTGTATTAAGGATAATACTGGTTTGTTTAAACACAGAAAAAAATGTGACTCATCACATAAAAATAAGATTGTATGAAATGCATAAGTTTGGAATTGTTAACCTAAATCTGAATCAATAATAACCAAGAAAATGAAAAAAAAAGAAATTAGGAAATGTTACTGCAACTTGATGCATTTTGTTTTGTAAAAATAAAAAATGACACAAAATAAACAGGAAATTCCATCATCATAATTTTGGTTGACAAATGAAATAAAGATGTAGCCATCAATGAATGCTGGGCACCTTCTTTTAATTTTTAAATATATATAAAGTTTATGTATAGAATTTAAAGAAGTGTTGGTTATGCCTTCTTAAAATATGTTCACACCAAAGGTTCCAATATTCCAGAGGCTTACACGGCTGGCAGCCTGGTCCCAGATCTGTGTTTTTCCTTGCCGGTTTCCTCACATTGATTTCGTGCTGTTGCTTTTTGAGCTCTAGAATGCCATCTCACCTAACCCTAAGTTGTCAGGCTGATTCCTCCCCCAATGCAGGACAGCAGAGCTCCAAACTGGGTCACAGATAGGCAAAATTACAGCTGAACGTGAAGGTAATCCAGATGTAACCTCTGGAGGAGGTGGTAGTATTTCCTATATTGTTTCATCTCTGGGAATCTGGTGCACCTATGAATGCCTACAGCTTTTTTTTTTAGCTTTCTAAAGTAAAAGACACTTCCTTCAAAACCATGTCCGCCATGGTGAGTTGGAACCAAGGAACAGACCATGATGTTGGAGGCTTTCACCTGCTGGGCAAATTTTCCTGGTGTGGAAAATGCTTTCACTGGCAAGGCGAATAGTTTTTATGCTGACCAGGCGACTCTGGACATAAGCTCTGGACTTGTCACGAATACGCTATGTATACGCCCAAAATTGAAAAAATACAAAAAATGTTTAGCCTATGCCTGCTTTTTTGAAGATTCTGGGATGTCAGGCATACCCTGTATAAATTGTCAAGGTGTGACAGGGCCCTAATGACTTAAGCTAAAGCCTAGAAGTGACGTACACCAAGGAGAGTGTAAACACACCCACCATGCAGATGTGCAAACATGCTGCTGCTTTATCTCTCTCACAATCACATCCTTTGATGTGTTGGGAATTTTTAAGAGAATTCTTACTTTTGCATACATGCAGTTTATTTTTGCAATCATATGCCTGCCATTCTGGCACATTTAGATCCAATATTGCCTTAGATCTATTGCATGTTCCTAATCCAGGGCTTACTAAAGTTGATAACGTGGATTCTGTAAATTGTCAGTGGAGCAAGACCATTTCTCTCATCCACTTTGTGTCAAAACAACAATCAGTTTGGTAAGATATAACAAAGAAAATAACTTAAGGGCAGTTTCACATTCACACTTTTTCAAGGTTGCCCTATATCTTGAACCACCAATCCATCTTCTCCCCCTTATTCCGTCAGTGTCGCGGTAGGGCAATGCCTATCTCCGCCAGTCTATGGGCGAGAGGCGGGTTAGACCCTGGAAAGGTCGCCAGTCTTTGTCAGGGCAACACAGAGATACAAAAAGACACACACACACATTGACAACTAAGGAAAATTTAGAGAACCTAATAAACCTAATAAACAGTCATGTTTTTGGACTGTGGGAGGAAGCCGGAGTACCCAGAGAGAACCCACATATACATAGGGAGAAGATGCAAGCTCTTATTATTGTGAATTAGGCTCCAATCACTAACTGGCTCAGCTCTTAGTTACAGGGTATTCAAGTAGCTACAACCTTTGATCATACAGTACTGGCCTAAGAATAGCCAAACCAGAGTGGTTCCACATTAACATATCCATCTCAATCCTTTTTTAATGAAAACCGTTCTCTAGTGTGGCCAAGAAATTCATTTTGTCCTTCACCAAACCTGTCATGATGTTTTCTAAGGCTCGGACCCACATGCAGTGAAACCAAACAGAGAGACACGGATGAAAAGTTTGACGGATTTTATTGAAGATGATAAGCTCGGTGCAGAGTTTCCCTAAACTCTGCTCAGCCGGAACTGGAAGGCGAGGGGAAGACACTGCGGTTAGTTCAGGCTCAGTGGGAAATCTGATTCTTTGATCTTGAAGGAGAGGATCTAATTGTTGACTCACGTTTCCAGAGAAGTGAAGGATCCTTGACTCCAATCTGTGTGTTGGTTATCCAGTGTATGTCTGATTCGGCGGAGGGCGGAACAGGGTTTACCCATAACTCGGACGGTGTAGGTGAACGGAGACACTGATTGCCACTCAGATTTCCTGCTGTACTTGAACGGGTCGTGGTGAAGATGATTCCCTTGCTCAGAGAGTAATTTCACCATCCTCAAAAGGGAGACTGGATCCAAACCTTCTGTTTGAATCCCTGGCTCCGTTTAAGACTTAGCTGATCCCTCCTGGGAGAGGAGGTCCGAAAAGGTCCAGTTTGCAGGATGACTTCCCGCCGAGAGGCAAAGACAAAAACAAAGTTAATACTCAGGGAGACAAGAACTCAGTCTTGGAGAAAACTCAGCTTGGCTAGAGTACCAAAAACTGGCAAACACTCTGGCGTCGCGGTAGTGGCAATCAGCAGCTTAAGAGCAATCCGTTAATGAGGTAACCGTCAGCAGGTGTGTGAGGAGGCGAACCGGAACCAGGCGCCTCCTGTTGGTGGAAGGGAGACAAACACAAAAACAAATACACAGACAGGAGCCCTGACAAAACCCTTTTGTGTGAGAAGGAATTGGCCCCACTGAAGATGAGCAGCTCTGATAAGGCTTGTCAGTTTCATACAGTATTAAAGAGAGCAAATAAACAAAACTGTGGAGGACCATCCTGCAGTCTGACACATAACAACATTGAACTTGTTACTTGCATATAAAAGTCAGCAGTAATACTTATAACATTGAGATAAACAAACAAAACCAAAAAAAATCACAATGCTTTAAAAAAGTAGAGTTGTTTACTTAACATGTTACTTCTAATCAGCAAAACATTTTTTATTCATTGAAAGCAGTCATGATCAGCAGTTTTACCATCACACATTTAAAGAAGCATGTTCTTGTTGGAAAAATGTAATGTCTGATTTCATCAACTTTTCTGCCTCAAAGTTTCGTATCATCAAATTAGGCTAAAGCACATTATAGGACGTCGGCACAGTCTAAATAATAGTGTAAAGTGCTATTATTATGTGACGGGGCCGTTCGCCGTAATTTGGCTTAGGCTGTAGGGATTGATACGCCTGGTCCAATACTGGCTCCTTTCCCAAGCCGAGAGCTTCCTTCAGCAGCGTGGAAACTGTGGTCGTGTCAACCGCATCTTGTTCCTCAGGTAGACCTATTATCCTGATGTTGTTACGGCGAGACCTCGCTTCCACATCTCCACACTTATTATCGAGAGTACCAAGTTAGGTGGAAAGTTTTGCCACTTTACTTTGAAGTGAAACCATATCGTCAGTGCATGCCGTCACAGCCCTCCATGTCAGTCACAGTTATCTTTAGCATATTTACCTCCACAAGAATAGCTGCTATTTTGGCATTTAGTTCCATTTTCACAGACTGTAGCACAGACTTTATCTAAGTGAAGTTAATCGTCATTGCCGTATCCAATTCTGTGTTAAAAATGCCTACCACCTCATCTCGAAGACGTGCGAGGTGTTCAGCCTTAAAGTCCGGAGAGGCCATGCTCGACAGTCTTCCTTGGAGTGGGCGTTTTAGCGACGCATTTCGCAGCGGGGTGACCCCACTACTACCCAAAGAGTTTGCAGCCTGGGGGACGTTTTTCTGTTATGGAGGCATAACGGCCTGTAATACAGTTGCAACGAGCCTTGTGAAGTCGGAATGTAAAAATAGAGAGTAAACGAAAGGGCCCTATATGATCATTCAAAAGTTTCACAGGAGCTCCCGCAGACACGTCTTACTAAAATGGAAGTCCTGTTTCCTATTGTTAAGATGTTTACCCTTTTTAAATTTGTATTTTTCTGTGTGCAGCTGCTTTTACACCCATGGCATTCCTTGAGACAGATTTTGGTTAAATTTTGTAACACAGCTTAACCTATAACTTATGCTTGATAAGTTCATTCTATACTTCAAAGGTTACTGCTGGTTGAAGACAAAACAATATTGTGATAGATAAAAAGGAAAAAGAGCAAGGCTTTCTTTAGTTCAGCACTCAATAAGTATATCTTAAAGCTTGCTTTGTAATACAAAAGTCAACAATTTGTGAGATTTGACGCAAAAATCTGACAACTGTGCTTGTTAGCCACCAGCTGCAGCTCCCTCTCGTTTATCTGGTGATGCAGCTGAACATCATAAACTGTTTTAATTTGTTGGCTTCATTATGTCTTTGCTCTATAACCTAACTTTTCAGACAAAATGAATCGGTAATCTTATCGTTCCCTCTTTTTTGTTTCCCATTCTCTCCCTTCTATCTTTCTGTGTTGTCCAGATGGAGGAGTTAATAGCCCGCATGCAGGATGAGAAAAACGGCATTCCCATACGAACAGTGAAAAGCTTCCTCACCAAGATACCCAGTGTTTTTTCAGGTAAGGCCAACTGTCAGAGAATAACACTGTTCTGCTTTTATTGCTATACCCAGTACTAAAGACATGTCTACACACTGTCATGGTTTTGGTTCTGTTTAAGTTTTCTATTTGAGTTTTCATTGGTTAAATTCCCATTTTGTTGTGTTTTCTGGATGTATTTGAGTTCTTATGTATTTCTTGTTTTCCCTCCATTGCCCTCTTGTATAAGTCTCCTTTCCCCCTAGCTCCCTTTTAGATTCCTCTGTCCACACCTGCTCCCAATCTGCTGATTAGCCTTATCTTTGTTTCTGTCTCCTATATATATATATATATATACACCTCCTGTTTGCTGGTTCCTCAACGTCATTTATTTGGTCTTCGTGTCTGTTTTCATGAATTTAAGTATTTTGTTTGTAGACTTTTGGCTCTGTTGCCCATTTGAACATTAAATCTGCAACACAACACCCTAGGCTTCTGTCAATGCATTTGGGTCCTCTTCAAACCTCCGCAGAACCTGACATACAGACCTTAAAGACAAATGGACAGAAGAAAAGTAAAGTTATTGATTCAAATGTTAAGATGATTTTTTTGGTCCAAAAAAGTACTTAAACCACTATTACAACATTGAAAGTGCAGAAGGATCCAGAGCAAACGTTGATGGGCAGGGGAGGATTGGCTCAAGTGAAATTAAGTGATGAAGCTTTAATCTACATTCGCTAAGGCATGGATGTTGGGTAGTTTGTGTGATGTCATTCCAATAAAACATAAAACAATGACTGGCTAATAATAGATTGTAGACTCAATAATCTCATAAGCATACCCCTAAAATCTAAATAAATCAAATTGTAGTCCATAGCTTATCTTTCTAGCTCCTATACTGTTATCTTTTGCAAGCTCAACAGTAAGAACACTGTCCTAGGTAGGAAAGGACCTCCTGACTACTGTGCTGAATCTGGAGAGCCTTAAGCCTGGTTTTTGCTTGACATGTCCACCACTAAATGAACATCTCAGGTTTATTGATGAAAGCATCACTGAGCATATAGCCCTTTATGTACGTCATTACATGACAGAAGCATGCATCGATTATGTGCGTCAAAAGTGGTGTTGCAGCCTTTCAAGATAAAATTGCAAAAAAACGAACAAAAAACAAACCTCTCCATTGTAAAGCCCAAAACATATAAACGTGTGTGAATTTGCATGTGTCACAGAGTACACATGTAATACAATTTTTTAGTTAAATTCTGTGTGCTGTGCTTTTAACTTCGGTTTGAATAGTCGGGATCTGTTTAGCTCATAAGTGCTAGATAGGAATACCTGGAGGACCACATATTCAATAAATACTAAACTATTGATCAGAAACATTGTTTCCTTTTACTACCTACTTTCATTACTGCCAACACTAGTCAGATAGCACCCATTATACAGACTGCTGATGCACTTTGGCTGAAGAGTTCTTAACAGTTCTGCTGAACTGCAATTATCACAATCAGGTGTGTTGAAGTAGAGAAAGATCTAAAACATGCAGAGCAGAATGCCCTGAGGACCGGGGTTGAAAAACACTTCCCTAGATTACCATCATAGGGACATAGAAGAGGCTATGTTAAGATTAAATGTTAGTAATGCTTTAAGTATCAACTGTTTGTTTTTGTTTTGTTTTTTTGTTCTCGCAGCTTATATTTTTTCTGTACTTTTAGGACAACCCGGAGAGTAAAGTCGAAGAAACAATTATTAAAGGCACTGATCATTAAATTAAACATCTGGGGATAAAAATACTGAGCAGCAAAGAAGTTGTCACTTTTCTCTATGTTCTATAAATTTTATATAGAATGATTTGTACTTCAGATTTTTTCAAGATTTTCTATTGGAAAATTTTTTTAGGAAAGATTGACCATTGGTTTAACAAGACAGGGAATCTGAAATAAAAATGTATTTAAAAGGCTGTGTGCTTTGTATTTTAGCAAAATCAAAAGTTACTTTTGTTATTTAAGCCTCTCAGCCCTGGTTATCTAGTCGGCGTGTGTGTCTGCTAGCTGTGAATAGATGAGATGACATGAGATGATGCTGTCAATCTCAAATAAAAAATAAAGACCAGAAATCTTTATTTATTTGAAAATTTTTTGGATGCATCAAATAAAAGTTGAGGAAAAGTTAAGGTCACTTTCTATCCTAAGTGAACTAATGACTCCTCTATTGCATGAAAATTTTTAAACTAATATTTACTAATTGCAACCATCAGATATAATTAAAACATATTTTTCTTACAGTAGTTTTTAATATTAAATCATTCAAAGCTTTTCTGTTTTCATCGAATTTAAGATTATTAAATTATCTAATTTTACTGAAATTTTGCATTAAAAAAGACAAATTTTAGATGTTCTTTAATTTGTTTTCATTTTGCAGCATTTTTTAAATACAAAAAAAATCAGATGTAAGGAAGATAATTGTTGATCTCTGCAAGTATGACTCATTCTAAGGTACAATTTCTACTTAACCGACAGAGGCCCCATTAATCTAAAGGAAAAGTCATTGCTCCAAAATCACATATTTGTGGTTTTGTGTAAATAAAAATCAAGTGTTTTGCCAACAGTCTGTGGAAGACAAATGGGAAAGATTGCAAGTCATATAGCAGCATCCCAACTTACAAGTACAAAAGAGGCACAATCACTGTTGGGGTACATTTCCAGCTGAGAAAATAGTAAATTTCACAAAATAAACAGCATCATGGTTTTAAAAACTTATGTGGAAATGTTGAAGCAACATCTAGCAATAACAGCAAACAGACATTGCATGCATTTCATGCAAGTTTGCCTATCTTACTTTTGGAAACTGTTTTTTTCTCCCACATAAAAAAATTATTTGTTTATATATATTTTTTTGACTTGACATAGTTTGACAAATAGTCAAATGCAGGATTTTATTGTATTTTGTGGGACAGACGTAAAAAGTATGGCACAGAACTGCACTAATTGGCATTTGCATTTTATTGCCCAATTTGTAAGCCTAAAGATTTGAATAAGTGCAGCTTACAGGTTCCTCCTTTGCTCTATGTTTTGCTTCAGCCCTAGCTCGACTGCCCCTCTACCACAGCAGGGTCTGCTGTGAACACAGGCTAGTAAGCAGGGCCACCAATAATAACAGATAAACAGCTATGGCATAATGACTGGTAAGAATGAAACATCAACTACTGCACAACTGCAGTACAGCCGCAATCTTGAGTATGCATAGTGTAGAGGAGGGGTGTGAACAGCATTCACGGGAGCATGACTGAAATTTCTAAGACAGGCTCTGATGGTTTGTTTTCGACCAGGAGCTGTGTATTTTTGATTACACCTCATATTCTACTGTCAGGGAAGTGAAACAAAATGTAAAAAACACAGTTTTACAAAAGTTTCCTACTGCACTTTTATAACCTTCCCCTTACCTGACATCAGTTTTCAAACTTTGCTTCAATCTTATGAGGAGCAATTGATGGATCATATTAATCTAAAAAGGCAGTCGCATAGCAACATACTGTGAAGTTTGTCCAGTTATTATAACTGTTCTCTATTTGCCTTATTCTTTCAATATACTTCCCTGCTTTGTTTCTTTATTATTTCAATTAAAGACACACTGTGTAACTTTTGGCCACTTGGGGCGCTAGACCTGTAATTGCCGGTATTTGGCTTCTACTAAACATCAAAAATAATAACAAAGATATATGACTGTATACTAGGAGCAAAGTGTTAACTTAACAATCAAATAATAAAGTTGAAAGAAGAGAATTGGTTTTACATCCAGCTTCTTCTTTCAACCTGCCCCAACAAAGCAACTCCTTTCTATGATCGACTGTTGTTTTTCTTTGCACACAATCCCTTTCCCGTTTTCTCTTTTAGCCTCCACAGAAGGTTTAAAGTTTGTCATTGCCTCAGCCATGACCAGTAGTGGAGCAGGCGGAAAAATAGTTGAGCAAAAGCCTTAGCTCTGGGACTATATAAGAGCCGTGTCCATAAGGCGATAACGTTCTTACGGGTCATATGATCTGGCCAACGACGGTGCATCTTCTTCCAACTTACATAGCCAGTATTTCAAGATGGGAGCCCCATTCGTAGCATTAACAGTGCTGAGCCCTGTATATTGACCTGAGGAATTATTTGAAATAACTCATATGCATCGACTCTTTAGGTCACAAAGTCTGCACTTTCCCTTTAAAGATTTGTTTATTTGAATCTCTTTGAAGCACCAAACTCTGGATAAATAAATTACATTGGTTTGCTATGATTGTGTGCCGTGTGTGTGTGTACAGTAGGTGGGATATTGTGGCATTCTGTCAGTTGTGGGTTTGTTTTTAGATGAGACACTAACCAAAGACTAAAAGGCTGCAGCATGCTCACACACTTGTAGGGATGAGTAAACAATCATTTGATCATTCCCTCTTTTCATTGCTAGTAATGGGGAGCTCAGTTAAATATTATGCAGCAAAATGGCACACATGTATCTATCTATATTAGTAGTTCTTTTCTTTGTGTTGAGTTATTTCCAATTCTTCCATACACTGCCACCTGCGCATCTAGCTGTCTGCATGGTTGTGAAAGTATTTAGTTTCAATATTCTTGCGGGGGAATTACACATTGTGATAAAGTCAGCTCTTGGAAAATAGGTCAGCCTTTTAAGTGTGAAAATGGGGTCATGTTAATTATGTTAGTCCTTAAAAATATCACAAATCAAATCAAGCTGGGTACACTGAAATGCAAGGGGATATAATAGTAGGGATATGCAGACACTCAGAGTAGCAGTGTAGTAGATGTAAGGACAGCCACGAGGCTACTCTGCCTCGCTGCATGAATTCCCCCATGTCTCCGTCTCACACCTTTTTCCTGCCTTCTGTGCCTTTGGTCTACTCAACACACCTTCACCTGTCAGTATGATAGACAGTAATGATTGCTCGGAAAATATATAGTCAAAGTGCTGAAGTCGCATGTTGCGTCGCAGTGTGAAAATGCCCAGGGGAGAGCAGAGGATGCTTTTATGTTTGTCTGAAATGGGAAAATGATTTTGTCACATTCTCAGCGGTAAAGATGCAAAATGGCAGCCACAATCAAGAAGTTTCATGTTCCTACTTGTTGAAGTGTCACAGGGGTCACATGTGGCCTACCCCCCTTTCTCCTCTCTACTTTTGTTGATGCAGTTTTGCTGCATGGAAGGCAATCTCTGACTTATTAAACCTTTTGAGTCATACAAATGCTGTTGTTATGCAGCACATAATAAGTGCTTCAACCTGCCATTGTATCTGGTGTCATTTATATTAATGGTTTGGAGCCAAAGAGAGCTAGCCTGAAGAGGGTGTCAGAAAAGAATATTGGATAATGGATGGTCTATTACCCACCTACATGGTACAAGGCGAGATACATTTGTATGGTAATCAATGTTGATGGACAAGGTTAAAGGTGTCATTGTTTTCTGTTTCACTCACATTTATATGCAAGCAGGTATTGCAGCTCTTGGAAGATTCTGCAACACTGCTGTAATTCATATTTATGTGCTTTTTGTTATTACAGGTTCTGACATTGTACAATGGCTCATGAAGAACCTGGACATTGAAGATCAAGGTAAATTTTACTGCTACTGAGATACACTATGATGTTTCAATCATAAAGAAAAAAAAAAACAATGGTTAGTTTAGCTTGACCTCAGATATACATTTCTAAACAGCAATAATTGGAGAGAAAGCTTCAATACACAATTTAACAATCACTTTCTATGATTCGTCATAAAAAAATCTAAGATCCCTAATTTGACTTATGACTTTTAGTGCATTTTTGGCTAAATGGAGACAGTTTCAGTGTAAATAACAAAGCTGAATATTTAGCCCAGAATACATGTATACAAAATGTATGTTAAACAGATTTAGGAAAGTACAAAATTTGCAAAGAAATATCAGGGAATAAGGATATTTACACAGAACATCAGAACATGTATTGCATATCTGGTATTTTTATTTTGTTACTTAAAAGTCATTGCCTTTTTCTACTCTGAGATTGATTATTGAGGTTATTTACTTTTATTGATATTTATGTGCTGTGATCTTTTGGACTTTGTTGGTTTTTTTTTTTTCATAATATTTTATGGAATTTATTTTATCCAAGTGTTGCTACATAATTCATTTGTGCGTAGTTCCTTAATGTTGCTTTTTGTTCTTTGTGAATCTTCTTTGGAATTTTGTTATCCCATGGTTTAACAGTTCCTTCGTATCTCAGTTCAACTCAAAATGTGTTTTAATCATATCTGGATACAGCTTTTTTACTTTCATTTTACCACTGCTGATCCTTCCTTCCTCCTTCCATCCTTCCTCTGATTAGCCAATTTAGTTTCCTCATCCAAACCCTGTTTTAGTGTTCAGTCTACATCCAGGCAGGTTGTTGTTTCATTTAAAACCAAAAATGAAAAGCAAAAACTCAGCAGTATTTTGTTTTAATTTTTTAAAACGAAAATGAGACATCGGATGATAAACCATTGGCCAATTTACGCACACTTTGAAAAAAAAACAACAACAGAAAACCAGCGCTAACTCGCTATTTAGTTTTTTTTTTTAGATTAAGTCAAGTGGCCTGACCCTGAAAACATTTGTTTCACTTAATTGATGTCAGAGGAATGTTTAGACCCTCTGCTGAGTGGAGAGTGCAAACAACCTGTTTAAGGGGTCAGGAAGAGCTGGGTCATGGTTAAGCTGCTGGTGACTGTGGGATGGTCTGCTTTTGGAGGGAACTGGTAGGATGCATACAGGAGTGGCTCTACATGACGTATGTGGGGCGGCAAGGACTTACAGGTCGTGCCACTTGTGAAGAAAGAGAAACATTTATGTCAATCAAAAGTGAGCACTTATCAATTTTTTCCACTTTTGTTTAGTTGAAACATTTTTTAAATTACTTTATATATGGATATTTGGATAAATTCAGACTGTTTTATATATATATATATATATATAATATATATATATATATATATATATATTGTATATATATATATATATATATATATATATATATATATATATATATATATATAACAGTCTGAATTCTCACTGACCTTTTCTGTGCTCCTAAATTTTCACTGTTTATGTCTGAATTTTTCAGACATAAATTTTTCTTTGTCATGCAATCCATTGCTCTGCTAGTCAGTCTGTTTTATAATCATTCTCTATTTTCTACTGTCCTTGTGCCGAGCCATCTATAAGTTTTCGATTATTGAAGTACTCTGTTACCAGTTTACATCCTTACTGGGACCTTTTCTATGCTGACAATCATGACAAATATGGATTTTAATACATGCACAATACATAGAAGTCTAATACATAGACTTCAGTAAGAATTTAATACCTACTGCATGGATCTGTAGTATTAAAGCCGTTACTGTACAAACAATATTCCTATTATTGGTTCTGTTCTTTATAGAGTAATGCAGGTGTAACACCAGATAGCCGAACTTACTGTTCGGCTATCTAGTGAACAGCCGGCCAACAATTAGCTGCTTAACTTGAAGCCTGCACCTTGAGTCCTCTAGTTTTTAGACTGATTCTAATCTGTGATTTTACAGTTAATGCTTTTGGTAATGTTTCCGTTAATGCTTCGTGTAAGTTGGAGAACATGTTCTTTCAGCCAACTGCCCAACAGTCCCAGATGGCTGCGGGTTGACATGGCATCACAATATGCTCTGTACAGCCAAATTTTTGTTTTATTTTTTTGAAGAATTATTTTTGAAGAATTATGGGGATCACAACTTGTAATAATTGCTGAAGTTTGGGTTGTTAGGGCAATTTTTAAATTAGTTTTCATTTTACATACTTCTGCCACTGCTGCTGACTCTTGGCTTCAATTCCGCATGATTGTAAACTCTGTAAATTCTGCATTAAAATGTTATATGTGCTACATTATTACCTACATTCTTATGCTTTTCTGGATCTCATAGTTGTTTGCATGTATCATTTCTCAGATTTTCACGGGAATCAACTTATCAGGCAGATTTTTTTGAGCTGGCTGACTCCACTGATGCAACTTTGATATGGTAGTTTGGCTGAGAAAAACTAGAGAGAACTTAACACAAGGACACACTTTGAAACTTTAATGGCTGCTAATATTGCATAAATGTTCTTGTTATAAATTATGAAAATCCCTTGATCAACTTTAGTGTACACCGCATAAAAAGAACCCATTTCAGCATTTTTAAACCTAAGAACCTTTGTCCAATGTAGCTTCATGGAGCAGCTTCACAGTGCTACAGTTTTCTTTGAACTATCTTTCTGTCCATAAACTATTGAAAAACCTGAATGACTTAAACTGCTATTTGGACCCTGCATGGTACATTTAGAATAATGATGAATATGAAACCACACATTTATTTAAACTCAAGATGGAAATGGATGCTTTATGCTTACATCCTTAACCGCAGTAGTAAAAAGCTTTTTGTGACTTTGTAATTATAAATGATATATATTATTATGGTAATGTTTTTGAAAATAAAATAATTTAATTTCCCTATGGGAGTAATAAAGTACTTTTAAATTGAATGTATTTGTGAGTGCTGGGTAAGATTAATAATGTTAGAAGATGCATATCAGACTTTTATATTGGTTGTGCAAGAGCTCTGAAATCATTTTCTGTTTCTTACATATCTGCACAGATTTGTGTGTGTATTTTATTATTTTTGTGCAAGGATGTGTTTGTCAGTTGTTTAACTTCTACTGCACTGTTCTGTCTTGAATCAACAATAATTGCTTTCAGCATACTTACATTTATTGGGTACATTTTCTGCTGTAATCATAGACATGTCTTCATAAAGATTTATCTAAATCAATTTAAACTAAACTTTCTTTGACAGTGACCTGTCTAAAAACATGTCAGCAAGCAGCACTCTTTGTCCCTACAGACCATTTCTTTCTGATTTGAGCATGTTTCACAGCACAGACACAAAACATGCTGTCTTGCCCTGCAGTCACAAACACTATGCTCTTTTTAAAATCTTTTTGACTTTAGCTGAGACCAACTCTTCCAGGAAATGACAAAAGGCTAACAGAGATTCATGTAATTGGGCTCTGCACAGAGCAACAGTTACAGCTGCAGCTTAAGCAAGTTTATTAAGTACAGGCAGATAAGCTTATATCCAAGCTGATTGAGGATAACGTTTTTTGCTAAACGAATCCCACTATGTTTAGTACCAATTATAAACCAAGGACTGCTCTGACTGAAATATGTTTAGGGAAAGGAGTGACATTCAGCTGAACTGCCCAAACTGATTGATGAAGCTACATTTAGTGCCTCCCTACAAAAGTTGAGTCTTAGCCAATCTCAGTAACAAATCAAAATGTCTTAGCAACAACTTAAGCTTGTGAGTGTGACATTCTCTATCTGTAAAAAAATGACATTGTGGATCCTAACAAAACCGATGTGATAGCAGCAGTGACGTGCATGTTCTTGCACTGCCATGTTTTGGTTTTGCTGTGTGCTTGGCATCTCTTGTTTCATCACAACTATATGTCCAGCCTTACACTAGCCCCATTTACAGTACACTATCCTTTTGAAACCATGCAGAGATCAGTCTGAGCATGATCACAGAGATAACTTTAGTGTAAATGGTACACAAAACTGAACCGGACCGTGCCAGACACAACTGAACTGTGCTAAACTGGTACTAGTTCATCAGTAGAGCTTGGCGTGATTCACTTCTGGCTCGGTTCACAGATAACAAAGAGAGCATGAGCACCCCTAGTCATTTTCTTACAGTCAGAAATTTCAGACATTCATAAAAATACAGGCTTCCCTTCCTTGCCACATGATTTCCAATGATGATTCTGTTTAGCAGTGTGATTAACCTCAAAGCCTGTCATTGTTTCCTGCGTCTGTAAGCCCTGATTAGACTATCGTTTGTAAATGCTGACTTTGTCAAGTAAATTTACCTTTTTTGCCTTACTCTCCGCTAACCATGAAATATGACAATTACAACAAAACCTCCTGAATTTTACGGCCGCCGCCATATTGAATTGCTTGTTTACCTCTATAGAGCTTTGGTTCCGTAGATCGTCACTAGGAGGCGAGGAACTGTGCTAGTGTGATGTGTAAACGGTCATAAGGAACCGAGCTCGGTACAGTTAACTGCTCCAAGCTCGGTCTGAACTCTGCACCGGTCAGTTTCAGAGGGTAGTGTAAATGGGGCTACTATAATAATGCAACATGATGTAAATCTTTCATTTAAGTAAATTTAAACCGGTGATTCCAAATATTTATTTTTCTAAACTTTTTACCATAATTAGTTTCCCACTGATTAGTGTAACTGTTTACCTTGTTGTGTAACAGAATTCAACATTGGCATTAATAAATATTAATTTAAATGGCTCCTAATCTTTCAGTTTATAACCCTATAACTGCTTAACCACTGATTTAAACAGTGCATTATAATGTAGGAACTCATCCAAGGACAAAAACTCATTATTAATTTGCCACCACACTGTGAGTTTGTTATAAAGGAAACTAACAAAACCTAATGTTTAAATAAGTATGCAAAGAGCTTCATGGCCTCCAGATTTTCTTCATCAACATTAGACAGTATCTGTGTTCTATTTTATTTAAAATATGAGAGGATTTCTAAAAAATGAATAGATTCTGCTCAATAACTATGCAAATAGATGTCATAGTTTTTTTTTTTAAGTTTTCTCTCTGAATTTTCATGGGTTTTATTTCCATTTTGTGTTATTCTAGTTATTTTTGGTTATATTAGAGTTTGTGTTTCTTGTTTACCCTCTGTTGCCCTCTTGTGTGAGTCTCTTTCTCCTAGCTCCCTTCTAGATTCTTCAGGAATCCTTCTTTTTAAAACATATAGTCCAAATGTTACAGGGGAATATTAAGTCTTGTCCAGCCATCTTACTGTCTTAATACAACTGAAAAAAGGGTGAATGCAGAAATGTAGTTGGACATTCTTGATATGAATCAGATGAAGAGAAAAGTGTGGATTTCCTTGCAAACATGCAGCAAGTAGTTTTGTCATTCAAATTGTCGACCCAGGAATTAATTCCATTTTTGTTTGTTTTTTGTTTGTGTGAATTAGCTTGTTTTTTACTGACATGTGGTGTGAATTGTATGGCAATGGCCCATTAAAAATGCAGTATTTAAACTACAGTAAACATTGACTTGATCAATACATGTTTCGGTAGGCTCCAGACTAATTAAAATCAAACTAAATTCATTCAAATTCAGTCCTTATTATTATTAGAAAATACACATAAATCTTGGTATGCAAACTGTTTCAAATTAATCAAAAAATTAAATTAATAAATATGTCCATGTCTGTATTTACAAGCATGTAGTGAGAAAATCAAAAATCATTTTATGAAATGAGGATGAAAGGATGGTTATATGCACAGATCTGATATTACAGAAAAAAAAGGAAACTGCCGCAAGCAACTTTAGTCTCGCTCTCCATGATGCATACTCACCAAAATGTCAATATTATGTTTGTTAAGTGGTTCAAGTGTAGCCTACAGTTGAATAGCTGTTAGTATAATGTCAGTTTATTTCCCTTAAGAAATGGCTGAAAGTATGTTCATCCCACAGGAAAAAAAAATCTTTTTTTTCAAGCTCTTTCACTACATCATAAATTTGATAAGCATACATCAATTAACTATAGCTGATAGAAACATTTTACTGCAATAAAATATATTATAATTGAAAGCTTTTACAACTCCTGTAAAATTTTATTTTTACAATTCAGTATATAATATAGAATTATGGCTGAAATTGTTAAACACATGAAAAATTTGCTTTGAAGAAATGAAGTAATTAAAAATGTATTCCATGGTGGTTATACTGATCACACTGTGGTTGGTATTTAAGAATAGCAATTTCTTGTACATTAATAGGCAAAGCCAGATACACACTTGAGGAAAAAAAATCAACTGAAACAGCAGGTACAAAGCAAAGAAAGAAGAAAGAAAAACAATGATAAAGTATTAAACTGTCCAATTGTGTACCAGCTAGAGTCTGATATTGCATGTAAAACAGCAATTAATCCAAACTGTGAAGGAGAGATCTTTAAAATGATTTCTGAGGAAGCACACATGGATCGGCCTAGAGTGAATACATTTCTGAATAATGACATTTATCTTTTGTCTCAACAATTTAAACACTTTTTAATCCACAAAAATCAAGAATATCTCCTGAAGAGGGGAACTCCATAACATTTTTACTTGAGATCCTGAGATACATAGAGTAGAACTGATTTGCTGCACGTTTAAAGGTTAATTTCCAATAAAAGCTAAGTGTTTAACTATAATATCTTTAATGAATATGTCTTACCTTCTAAAAACGCCAGAAGAACTCTGCACAGCATGTGATTGTGTACTTTTGGGTATCCATCTTGTCACAGCAGTCTTAATTGTTCATTGAAGTTTGGACCTCTCCTGTTTTGTTAATGAGCCAAACTGCACAGAAATAGATAAACCCAGGAAAGACTGAATAATGGCAGTGTAGAAGATGACGATGTTGAAAGGATAATATTGCTCTTACACATAACATGTAAGATGAAGTGGCTGCGTTAATGAGTCAAGGGATTTTAATAAAGTATGGTGAGTCATTATTTATTAATAAATGGAGCCTTGACACAAATGTGCTTATAGACACACACATATACACAATGTCACACCCCATACTCTTAAAGCTGTAACAGTCTTCTCTGTGCTAAGGGAAAAGCTGATCTATATTTATCCCTCACACATGCAGGCGTTGTGAATCTGTCAGAGAGTGAGAGGGCTGTGATGTACATGTTTTACTCACTAAGCCTCTGTTATTGCATCCTTAGACTATGGGAGACATTTTAACAGCTGCATATTATAGTTTTGCTTGAAACTAAGAGATTAAAGCGCTGCTGCATAAAATATCATGTAAATGAATTGTTTCCTCTGCCTGCTGCTAATTAACAAAATGTGTCAACACATTGAAAGAAACATGAGTCTCAACAAAGGTCTTGCAGATTTACAACTGCAGGAAATACCTGGTGGCAGATGAGACATCCAGTAGAGGAAGATGAGATGTTTTCATTATCTGATGGTTTAAATCAGGAACGGTAAACCATGTGCTGTGCAGCGTCGAGAGGAAGCGGTTTTCCACTCCAACCAGGCACAACACCAGGTGATGTGACTGATGAGTTCCGCCTCTCCCGCTGAAGGTGGGCTAATCAGCTAGATCCCCGGCTGTGCTGCGCGTTGTTGGAACCGAGGCCTGCCTATCCATCTGTCAGAGTACTCTCAGATGCTTTTAAAGCAGCAGTTCCTGATTCAAGGGCTGGTGCTCAAAGTCGTTTTTAAAGTCGAGGATGGATGAGCGTCTTGGAAAGATTGTCTGCTGTTTTAACAGACTAACCCATCTAAAGCCAATCGATGGCAGACAGTTTTATTCAGATGTGTCTAAGTAAAGAGGTAGAATATCAATGCAAAGATTTTTATTTCCCCTCTCCTTTGCTTATTAAGGCTATTTTATCTTGTTTTTTATGAATGGTTACCAATAAATGTGACAAAATGTGGAAAAGATAAAATGGCAGAAGTTATTTTATGATATACAGTATCTATTATGGTCATATTTAATAAATTCTTTTAAAATTTATTTTAAATAAAATAATTTTCCTCCTTCTGCTTATGAAAACATGACTTGAAGCTAGAATACATTATAGTAAACATGATTTAATAAGGAGACGCTGGATTAAAGAAACATATTAACCACCTGATTGGAGTTTTTTTAGTGGTACTTTTGTTTTTTTATACTGTACTGTTTTAAGCAAAAATGGATAAATTACAGAATATGACTTTTATAAAATGTATATGATCATTTTTACAGTAACAGTTTTGGGAATAACAGGAGAAATACAGAAACAGAGTTGTAATCTATATTGTGTTTCTTTCTATCTGTTTTTTTTTTTCATTCAAGTGGAAGCTCTTCACTTAGGAACACTGATGGCTGCACATGGCTACTTCTTTCCTATATCAGACCATGTCCTCACTCTCAAAGATGACGGTACTTTCTATAGATTTCAGGTAAGGAAATCCATATACAGAACATTATCCCTTCAACATCAAATAACCTTAACTTGAATTCTCCAAGCATGAACTTTTAGTCCATTGATGACTTCAGACCTTAGCTTCCAACGGAAATGTATCCCACTGCTTTCTGCCCACTCTTGTCTGTTCCATCAGCCCTTTTGGCAACAGCCCCCATATTCATGCAGCACCTGCTATGGTGACCACAGCCGCCTCAATGACCCGTCCCCCTTACCATGTGTAGGTGGCTAGCATGATGCCTTTGCTCTGTGTTTGCATTGGTCAGATTGTGCGATTGACAGATCAAAGATAGGAATGATTAGAAAGTTGACCACTCCAGAGTAAAAAACAAAAGCCAATAAAACAATTTCCCGTCCAGGGCAGGCACAAGTGTCTGGCTGTGCGGGGACGGCCCCCTTATGTCCACCCTTGTACCTGGGGTTAATAAAACAAAAATATATAAATTTTGATGTTAAAAATTTATGCCATTTTTGAGAATAAAATAACATTTATCTTACAGATAAATGTTATTTTACTATTTAAATTCTTGCCAACTTATGATCCACTTGTGAAAACTTTTACCATTTAAAGTTTATTTGTTTAACAAATTTAAACCTAACTTTTACAAAACCAAGCAAATTGGAAAATTTCAAACTAACTAATTTAAAAAATGCTTAAATAAACTAATTATAGAGGACAAATTATAGAAGATACACTTTTAAACATCTTTTAGAAATGCTTGTCTTCTCCCTTGTCATTGTATCAGATGCTAAATATGTCTTAAAATCTTGTCGTATTTACCTTTAGTTTTACTTAACTTGAATGCAGTTATTTTATTTGCTGTTTTGTGATTGTTGTAACTGCAAACCTTTTGTGCTGTTGCTGTTTTTATAGAGGCTACATAAATTTAATTGACTTTAACATCTGACATTGCATGAGCAGAGTTTTCATTTGTTGTTTAAGTCTACCTCAAGATTTCCTGGGAAAAAAGTGCTAAATTCAGTTTATTTTGGTTTAAATCGACCACCGGTCTAACCTGGATGTGCAGCGTCTCTATTGTGCAGCTTGAAAAAAGAGATAAATTGGAATTGCAGTACTTCATTGTTCTTAATTGCTCACAAACATAGAAGAAAAAGCACATTATTCTGAATGCCCATAAAGACTCTGACAGTTTTAGTGATTTTTCTTTTTTCTCTCCAAGTATGCTACAAAGAACTGACCAGAGTAAATCAATACCTAAGGCTGTTTTGTTGGTGGTTGGCGTCACTTTGCTTTTATGTGTAATCGGTTCTCATCTGAGGCCAGTCTATACAATGCTGCCCCAAGGAGGGTCAAGATTCATGTTCCTGTCTGCTCTCAGGTCTTTCTGAAGGGAACTTATGTCTCTTATATCCAACACCAAGTCCATTATACAGCTAAATGTTTTGCTGTGACTGATGTCGCTCTGTATCTGCAGGCCCTATTTTGATGGCAGTAAAATACATAGATTTAAAGAACTCTTTTGGTTTGTTTTGTGCTGGTCTCTTTGTATCTTCCCTGACAATGTTCCTATCTTTCTCTCAGACTCCATACTTTTGGCCGTCAAATTGCTGGGAACCTGAAAACACAGACTATGGTGAGAGAACTGTTTTATTTTTGTATTCCTAATTTCTTCCTTAAAGTGCCTTGCAGAATTTTTTGACCACCTTGAACGTTGTGACACTTTTGTCAGAGTATCACAAACTTCAAAGTAATTTATTGGGAGTATATGTGACCGATCATAACTCATTACGGAGCAAAAAAAACACATTCTTTTTAGAACTATTTTTACTAATACCAGTCTTAAAGATGAGACATATAGTTCAACCTGGAGACACTCACAAAGAAAAAAGCTGCAATTATAAAAGTATTATTTAATTTATGTATACATGTAAATCAATCCTAATGTTTAAAATATTTCTCTCAAAGGAAAACCAGCTGATTGCGATGACCCATTGACTCTGCAATCTATCACACTGAGCACTTAGCGACGGTGGAGAGAAAAACTCCTTTTTAACAGGAAGAAACCTCCAGAACCAGGCTCAGTGTGAGCGGCCATCTGCTGAGGCCGACTGGGGTTCAAGGAGATAAAAGCAGATAAGGACATAAATGAAATAAGTTATTAGGCGCACGGGCCCCGGCAGGTACTTTGATGCTGAGAATCAATGTACACTTGGGGGAGTAACCTAGAAAAGGATTAGAAAAAAATAAATAAAAAATTCCCTTTAATGTCCCACAATGGGGAAATTTACTCTCTGCTTTTAACCCATCCCCTTGGGGAGCAGTGAGCTGCCATTGTGTGGCGCCTGGGGAACAGCGTGGGGTTAAGGGTTTTGCACAGGAACCCAGAGTGGAGGCTGTGGGGATCAAACCAGGTACCGGTACTTGCAACCTTCTCAGAGCACAAGCACACTGCTCTAACCACTAGACCAACATTCTCACACAATAGGTGCTAGGTGATGTGATGGCTGTGGGTGCAATGTGGCCACTGTGATGCTCTGTGGTTGCACTGAACCTGCTGTAATGAGGTGTGGATACAATATATCCACCGTTATGTGCACACCGTGATGTGTTGAGGTCTCCAAGTGATGTGCCAGCCACGATGCACATGCCGTGATGCGCACACCTCAATGTGCTGAGGTCCCAAAGCGATCCGTCAGCCGCAGTGCATATTGGGGTACACAGAGGTTGCACCTCTGTTCCTCAGAAGCACATCCTCTTTATTTACTTTGTCCTCGCATTATTTCAGTTTGTTTATTCATCAAAGAGTTTTTGTTGTTTTCTTTCATTTCTCTTGAAAATAAGATCTTGGATCTCAATAAGATTACCTGTTTAAATAGAGTTTGAATTAATACAATAAAATATTGTATCATATAGAGTATATTTAATTATGTAGCATGACATTGAATTATGCATTTCATCATTTTAATCAAATTTAATCATACTGTAGCATAATGTATTAGAAGAAGAAATGGTACATTTTATTATTTAACATCAAATTAAATAGTACATTTATTTGTTTCATGAAAGAAGAATTTATTGTACCTTAGCCCTCCATACTTCTCAGGTCACATCAGGATCATTCTGAAAAGCCTCTTCTGATTCCCAACTTGTCGATGTCTCGTGATACATAAAAAAAATACTATTGCATAGTATCTCACATTAAAACTTGTCTGACAAAATTATATAGAAAGGAAATAGGCTTAACTGCCTTTGCAAATCAATTTATTTAAAGGAAATGCTGAAAACTTGTGCATAATTATATATAACAGAACAAAGAATCCCAGTTACACACCTTGGTCCAATGTTTCTTCATTAGCTATTCTCTCCAACTGCTGCAGTGTGATGCATCTGTACAAAACATGACACGTGTCTGTATGCATGCACCTGTTGTTCATGTTGTTCACAGTTGGCTGAATTGTTTAATGTTGATACAGGGGTGAGCTCTTCCTTTTTACAGCCAAGCAGAGTGGAGATAAAGCCTTCATATTATACAAAATGTTTTTTTTTTTGTTTTTTTTTTCATTGAATCCCTGTACACTGACAGGTCTTTAATTTGCAGCAGAAGAGGGAAAAGGCCAAAGCGCACTGTGGGAATAATCCTGGGAAAGCTGGGGGAAGTTAGAGAACAGCAGATGCAGCAACTGACTCACGTGCATGATGCCCCATAATGAAAACAGTCTAATGGCATAATGAATCTCCCGCATTATGGTCCGTTAACAAAGAGATGAAGGGATGATTATAGCCTAGGAAGAGATCAAAAGTCAGAGACGCACACACCAGCATTGTAGTAACAGACACATTTGCAGCATGCATAGCTAAATGACCTTTATGTGGCCAGTCTAAATGTGCATTTGAGAGGATTAAATGCATAAAAGCAGAGCCACTTAAGGCTGTTAAAGCCAAGCTGATATTCTGTTCTCTCTTTATTACCATTCTTTTTCCCTTCTCTTCCCCAGCTGTTTACCTCTGCAAAAGAACAATGCAAAACAAAGCACGTCTGGAGCTTGCAGACTATGAAGCAGTAAGTTAAGTAAACCTTCAGACATGCCCACTATTTGTGTGCTAGCACACCTCCAGAGCCTTTTGTGTTCATTTTCTTTATAGCTAAGAAGAAAAAAATATGTTTTGATTCTGTGCTGAATCAGTGAGTTGGTTATTTCTGTTTTTGTTTTCCATGTAATCAGAGAGCAGTAAAGGCTGCAGCCAGCAGCATGTCAGACAGACGGAACAAGCCATGTTTCCTCAAAAGCCTTTCTTTTCTAATTTGTATTTTCTGTTTCACCCATAGGAGAGCTTAGCAAGGCTACAGAGAGCTTTTGCCAGGAAATGGGAGTTCATCTTTATGCAAGCAGAAGCACAAGCAAAGTAGGTTTCTAAAAGAACCCCACATGTATAAAGCCATAATAAGTCAGTCCTCTTGTTGTTATGAATCAAGTCAGTAATTCACGCTTGCTGAATATCAGCATAAACCTTTATAGATGTGCAAGCTAGATTAAGAATGTTTAATAATGATCACTGGATAGACACAGTTGTAATTTATTTTTCATCCCCAGGGTTGACAAGAAAAGGGACAAAATTGAGAGGAAAATTCTCGACAGTCAGGAAAGAGCATTTTGGGATGTGCACAGACCAGTGGTGAGTGAAGTAACCTATTGCATTGATGTGACTTGGCTCTGCTGGGATTCATTTAATTGCAGAAAATAATATACGTAAAAAAGAAGAATCAAGCTGCACAACCTTTTCTAAGATGCTTAGTTGAAAGAATGATTAGAATGCCTTAAAATATGTTTATACAGAACATACAACAAATACAAGCTACACAGTTCAGTCGGTTTCCTTAGGATGTCCTGTGATAGATCATAATAAACAGGACTAAAAATGAAGCATGACATTTTAATAGGTAAAATCTGAGAACATGCTTATCACAGTATTGTGCCCCCATTACTCTGAGACCTCTAAGTAAAACCCCATGCAATTAACGACCTTTTAAAGTAAATTATTTAGTAAATAATCACCCACTGTCATGAATCTATTCCTTATAAAGGCTTGATTTATATTTGATTTGGAGAAAATGTCACCAAATCTATCCCTGATGACACCAACTGTTAAATTGGGGGAATTGAACAAATTGAATATAAAACACCTGAACTTGAAGTGCAGTTTCATCAAAATATCCTCATGTGTTGAAAAAAAAAATCAAATCCTACAGATAATCTGTGGCAATATTAACATTTTGGATGCTCTCACCACAGCTAACTGAGCTTAAGCATTTTTTTTTTTAAATAAGAATGGGCAAAAACTTACAGTCAATTTGCAAAGGTGGAAGAGACATTGCAGAGTGTAATTGCAGCTGTTATCGAAGCAGAGAGTGGTTCTACAAAGTATTGATTCACAAGAACAAAATAAAAATGCATGAAAAAACCTTTCATATCTTAAGTAATGCCTTGTTTAATGGATACTTTCCAAATATGCACTTCTCATTGTCGGTCCATCACATACAGTCCTGACAAAATATTCAAGTCTGTGATTCAAGGGGTAAGGCACTGTTCATTTGACTTAAGAAAAAGCCCTACATATGTTTGTTACACTCATTTCACTCCCACTAGGAATATAATAAGGTTTTTAAAAAAGAAATTGTGTTTTAAAAATGTCATGCAGTCAGAAGCACTCTATGGATTATACAATCTAACATGCTACCTGCAACATTTAAATGTTGTAAAGAAGCAAAGCCACTGCAGATCACTGATGTGTATTTGCCTTTGTCATACACATGAAATGCCACATCAATAACTGTCACAACACATCAGCTTCAGCTGCGCTGTTTACCTTGTTCCCTGCACACTTGCTTCGCATTAGCATTTAGTTTCCTCCCTCCCGAGTTTAAAGGGTCTCCTCTGTTGTGCTTCTCCCAAAGACAGTTTGCTGGTTAATTGGAAAATAACAAGTTCAATTTATGCGTCCTTGGAGCAACATAATCAATATTAATTCGAATTTCACAGTGAGGACCGTCGGGTTTCTTTGCTCTGTTCTCCTGCAAGGGGGCGAGATTAGGATCACTTGTTCAATCAGCCGGGAGCTGTACTCTGAAAGTCTGATTTCCTGCTCCTTGACATTATTTTTTTACTTGCCGTGTGGTTAAGCATAGTGGATTTGATTAGCAGAAAGTCATTTATTTGTGGAAAAAGTGTGCCTTCACCCCAAAGGAACTGTTGTGGATGGTGAGTGGTTTTAAGGAGGTAGCACATTCCAAAGAGGCCCTCAGTCTGTTTTGTGTAAATATATAATACCATGAATTGAAAAGCTGTTCTCTTAGGGTCAATAGTAAATCTTTTTCATAATACAGCTATAAATTTGAATATATTTTAATTAGAATTTACTAGAAGTGTTACAAGATATCATACATATTCTACACAGTTTTTATTTAATAAAATGAATTATTAAAAATACGGCCTTCTTATCCATTAATAAAAATGAAGATTGTCACTGGTCTTTTTGGCCTATATCTAAAACTAATCTAACACTGGACCCTCAAAAAGAGTTTTAAAAAACATGTTTTTTATAATATTTTGTAAACAAAGAAAAACTGCATTTTTTCTACTTCACTCCAGTGGTCCTCTTTGTTTTAGTGAATGTAGGTTCAAAGTGTTTGAATACACTTGCAGAGGCACTGCAATAACACAATTAATAGTGTTTTTACAAAGAAAACTATGTTTTTCAAATATGTTACAATTATAATGATTTAAATGATAGATATCTGCATACATAAAATGATTATAAGAGCAATATATTTTCTATGTGTTTTAGATCAAAGCCACATAGGCAAAAAGATCATACAGAGAGAAATAAAGCAGATTAAAACATTATAAATGTAAGGGATGAGTGGGAGTGTGAAACACATGCGTATGCATATATTAATACGACAGACTGATGCATCTTTTGTTGCATCAGTGCTGAAGGGGAAAGGGATTGTGATCACAATTCTAGACTCAATACCGATGGTGGTTTCTACATTGGACTTTTATCCCATAAGCTGTTTTTCTCTGTATGTGTGGGCGTTTGTCCTACACTTGCAAATAAGACCATATAACGGGGCTTTAATGTATTGCTCTATATAATGCCACCTGCTGGCTATGTACTGTAAGTGCATACCCAAAACCGCATGGCTGCCAATGAGCTCCAAATTCCTTAGGTGATATACTTATAGTAAGTTCAGGCACGCAAACGTCTAAAGCCTGCATCACCTTTCCTTGATGTGACTATTAAGCATATGGTATTGAGGGAGATGAGAATGCTGAAGAAAATGTCACTATGCAGCAGGATAAACCACAGAAGTTCATCAGATATCTGGAAGCTTGGAAAGAATGACATGATTTTTGAAAATGTCTATAAAATATGCAGTAAAACATGTGTGACAGTAATTTGGGCTTCATGAATAGTAAAGTTTGTCCATGTTTACTAAAGTATTTTTTACTTAATTTTCAATTAATATTGGGGTTTTTCTGTTTTCTGTATTTCAAAGTCTAAAGACATGTTGTCTGTTTGTCTCAATGAAAATGTGAAAAGCTTAATAATTTGACAACTCATTAAAATGAAACTATAATATGTATCCATTTTACAGGAAATATTTACAGGGGGAGGGAAAAAACTAGCTAAAACAAAAAGTGTGAGAAGAAA